AAAATGGTAAATCTGAAATTTAATACACAGAACTTGTAATTCTCTAATAGCACCACTAATTATCACTCAAAACACTCAAATTAAGTGAAACAAACAGTTTTGGATAAAAACAAACTCAACTGAGGTGAATTGTTTTCAAACAACTCCAAAAATTACAGAAACCATCTCAACCAAACAAACAACCTTGAAACGAGTTTTCCTTTCAAATTTTAAATGTATTTGAATGTTATATGAGATAAATAAAAGGAAAATAACAATAGATGTTTCAATTACACAATGTAGAATTGGTTGAAGTGTGTTTTGCACAATTAAGTAAATTAGGCTAATCTGATTGTTTTTTGTTGAATGCAAATTTGTCTCCTTTTTTTTAGTAAGAAATAATGAAAATAAAGATAACAAAATAAGGATAGACTAATTTACTTGGTGAACCTGGCTCTAATACCAAATGATGCGAAACCCCAAGACCCTTGCTTGAATCTTAGAGTTACTCTTCAATCAGTCTAGAACAGAATTTATATCACAAGTAAAAAAGACGCAAATTTATTCAATCACCCAAATGTAGAAGTTAAATAGAACCCAAGACCCTTGCTTGAATCTTAGAACTCTTCGATCGATTTAGAATAGAATTTAGATCATAAGTAAAAATGAATCAAATTTGTTCAATTACCCAAATGGTAGAAGTTAAATAGAACCCAAGAAAGATAAATGATATCCCTTGAACCCAATCCAAACAAACACCAAGAACAATTGAAATAGAAAATCAAAATTGAAATACAAGTGATAACAATTGTATTCCAAATTAACACCTTGTGCATAAAGTGAAAAGAAAGTCAAAACACTCTCAACTCAATTCTGAAATATTTGATTACAACTCTTCATGTCCACAAAGAAGAGTTCCTTTGGTATTTATAGCCAAAGAAATCAATGATAAATTACAATACAATAATTACAATTGTAACTCTCACAATAACTAGGCTAAGTATAGGCATGTAATTGTTATGTAACTCTTTGTAACTCAAATCTTCTTAACCAACACCACTAATTGTTTGTGACACCATATAGTTAATTATCACTATGTCTCATCGGAGGTCATTTTCAATTTTTTCTGCGGCGGTGCCTTTGAGCTTTACCTGCGGTTTTTAGCTCATCCGCCTGTCCTTTTGCTCCGATTTAGCCAGGGGGTGTTCAAAATCAAATTCGAGCAACTAAAAGAATTTTTTACCTTTTTTGGCAGTCGGAGGTGGCTCCAGCGCGACGGTGGGCGGCGTTGGGCTCCCTTCTCGACGACTGGTTCTTCTTCTCTAGTAGGGGGGCTGGTGGCTACGGTTAGGGTTTGGTGTGAAGTGAGGTATTTATATCCGCCTCCTTTTAATCTGAGCCATCCATCGCGTTTGATCTAGACCGTCCGATCGCATTTAAATAGGAAATGAATCTGAACCGTTTATCACGATTTGATTTGGACCGTACAATCATGTTTAAAGAGGGAACGGATCCAGACCGTCCACATGCGCAGGATCAAATCCGGACCGTCCAATCGCGGGTACATGGAATGTCAGCGTGGCCTCCCGCGTGGCCTCCCGCGTGGCACCGTGTCAGCGTGCCTTGCCACGCAGCACGCTTCGATTCATCGAGACTACTGACTGGGCGGTCCTACGTGGCATATTTTTTTAATTTGCGTTTTGACCCCTAATTTTTTATTTTTCTTTCAAAAATACCCCCAGAACCAAAATTTTACCCATTTTTTCCAAAATTGTTTTCAGTTTCATCATCCACATATTTTTCTTAATTTTTATATCAAATAAAAATTCATAAATTTAAAAATTATATTTTATACATTAATTTTAAATATTTTAAAATTAATTCTAGGTATTACAGTCTAAGTCCATTTGGCCCACTTATAGCCCAAACAATCCCAAAAGTTCAAAACTTTCCTTCATGTGAATGCCTCAAGGTTTGACCTCATATCTCCCCAATTTGCTTCTATGGACATTTTCATTCTCCATATACTTCTTCCTTAATATCTTGGCTAGTCCTTAGCTAAATTTGAGTCTTTAATTCTGTGTATTTTGGTCTTAGAACACAAATCAAGCCCAAAGGGTTAATTAAGGCTCCCAGGGGATTTTCTCTCTCACTTGAGAGATTTTCCCATGCACATGGGGAATTTCTCTCCGAATTCTTCATTCAATTATTCTCTTACTTTTCCAAAGCATTTTTCTTACCTTTTATGAGGTTGTTTTAACCTCGAGAAGCATTCTTAAGCCTAAAAACTCAACTTTTCCTTTGTTGAGGAAAAACTTTTTTTAAGGGATTCTAGTTATTCGAATCTCATAGTTTTCATTCCATTTGACTTAAAACTTAGTCGTTAACATTATTTCATCTCTCTGCATGCATATATATGCTTAAATAGCCATACACAATACAAGAAATTCGTCTAGAGAAAATTGGGTCGTTACAGTTTGTATTACATGTATTAGCACTATGATATGAGAAGAGAAAAAATGGTACTACTGGCTCAAAAGAAGAATGAGATATATGGTTGTTTAATGGTAAATGTGCTTTTAACTAAATGCATTGATGAATGTTTTTAAACGTGTTTGTGTTGTTTCATTATTGTCATTCTTATTGAATTTTTGGAACTCACCTCAATCTAATTCCCCCAAATGACTTGGCAAATCTTTCCGCTAAGTGTTGTCTAAATCCCTTCGATGATGACTAGGAGTGGAGAGGAGACATTTGGGCCCAAACAACCTTCGATTTTCTTGATTTTTCGCATGTAGGTTCCTAAATTCTTATTTAAGTTATTTTTGGACTTAAATATATGTAATATCCCAAAATTCCAAGTTATAATTTAATTTACTAAAACCTAAAGAGAAATTTTTGAAAATAATAAATAAATCAAAAGGAACGAAAAATATTAAAGTACATAAAAATATAAATTAATTTAATTAATTAATGAGGTTCATTTTTAGGAAGAATATAAAAGTGAATTTTAAACACTTAAAAATGTAAAATAAAATATTTAGGAATGAAAACGGACGAAATCAGGGGGTTTTGGGACCTTTGAGGCTTCAAAATAGGGCCAGGGTCCCAAACGAATGAATTTTCAGGGGGGGTTGGGCCCTCTGCAAAATTTGAGAAGCGGGCCATGTAAGAAGAATATGTGTCCGTGCCCCCAATGGGTTTCGACCTTGTGGGGGACACCACAGTGTCCAGCCGCGTGGCAACAACATGTAAGGGATCGCTTGTGTGGCGATCCACATGTCGGATTGCCAGCATGGTGATCCACGGGCGAGAGTGGCTTGTCAGCCTGGCAATTCGCGTAAAACACGTGATGATTGACAATTCGCGTGAGGGGCAATCGAACAACCCTGATCCTCTCGCGCATGGCCGATTGCATTGTGGGGTTCATTCCTGCCCATGTGCAATTTGAAGATGGGGATTGTTTCCCACCCAGATCGATCAAATGGTGCAGATTCCACCTCATTCGAAATTCAAACAAATGGCCCAGATGTGTTCTTGCTTAGGCCGATTGAACGGCCTTGATTGCAGATCGGTGCACGGTCTGGATTGCGAGAGATTTGATCTAACAACTGAGATTTCATGTGTGTAAAATGACTAAAATGCCCTTAATAAAGCCCTAAATCGCACGATCAAAATCTAAGGGGCTTCAATCCAATGACCAAAATTAGATCTTGGACATGAAATGATGGTTTTGCCCCTAGCAAAACTGATGGTCTAGATCTCTCCATGGAGATCTGACGACCGGAGTTAGGTATATTTAAAAGGTAGCCGAGAGAGTCTACTTTTCATTTGGCCAAAATGGCCATCGGGTGTGAGAGAAGTAGAGATCGCGTAGCCACATCTCTAATGAAAAAGGGTGGTTTGCGGTAGCCACTGCGAGCCCGATTAGAAAAGAAGAGAAATCCCCCAGCGACGATCTCGCACGAGAAAGAAAGGAAAAAGAAGAAGAGAGGGAGACGTGAGAGCGGCCAAGGCAGCAAGCTCGAGGGAGAAAAGTGGAGGCGCAAGGTGGCTTGCGAGCGCGAGGGTCAAGCGGGCAACCGCAAGCCAGACTGAGTTAGCCTCTGCCCGTAAGGGAAGGAAACCGAGCGAGAAAAGAGAGAGGCGGGCTGTTTTACTCGCGAGCAAGGGAGATTTGGGTAGAGGGTGGTGTGTGTGAGTGGAGGAGCCAACCGCAAGAGGCTAGGCCACAAGGGAGGGTTATCGTGGATGCGAGTTCACGCGCAGGGGGCTATTCCCTCATGCGCAAGGGAAGCTGCATGCGGGTGTCGGGAGGGCTGATGTGCGGTTTTCACTCGCGGGAGGGGGGAGGGGACATGGGCCAATAAGGCTGAGTGCACCGCGCGCGCGGGTGCTTTCATCGCTACATGGGTGCGTGTTCGCACATGGGATGGGAAAACTGTGTGGATCCACTTCGCGTTGAGGTTGTGCACATGGCGGATTCGCAATCCGAGAACTCTTCGCCGTCGCGTGAGGTAATAATTTCTTCTTTGGTTTTCTCACTTGAACCGACCGAGTCTAACTGATTTTGCTTGCAAGTGCCGAACCAGATTAATTCACCTTCTAGACATTGAACCGAGGAGCATCTAGGGAAATCTGAATCTTCAACTTGCGAGAAGTTTTTAAATTACGTGTTTTTAGATGTTTTGAGATTGATTGAGTATAAATTCGTATTGTTAGTTAGTTTAGGTGTTAGAAGCCGTCTGAAAACTAAGAAATATGGATATGAAATCAGTATTAGATGGATGCATTGGATCTGGATCTCAATTCATCCATTAACCGAGGCGAGATCCATTATTTGCAGGTTGTATTCTGTGATTCTATGGCTTAATAAGTGAAACAGATTCGAAAAGGGTAAACGGTAAGTGTTAGTTCTCTTAGATTTGATTCCAGTAATAAGACTTTACTAACGGTCATTTGTAGATTTGTTTAGGTGATTTTGCTTTAGGAATTCGATTAGGGTTGAATCTTCGAATTCAGTACATAATCGCGCATCGATTGAGATAAGAATAGGGGTAATGTAATTGATACGTGCAAGCATGTTTTCTATATTGTGGGTGTGATCGGTAATTAATTTTTGAAAAACTTGCATGTATTGTACATCATTTGTTGGTGATCGAGGGGTGCATGTGTGTTTACATGTTTTTAATTTGTATGTTGTAACTTGGAAAGCATGGTATGTGAATGTTTTATATCATAAATGGAAAAAGAAATCAAATGTTTTCTAAAAACCGAGCATGATCACAAAAGCGATTGGAAAAGCAAGTAAGAGAAAAAGTGTTTATTAAATAGAATGACTTAAAGATTAATTTAGGAGAAAGGGGTTAGAATCATAATGATAAAGAAAAAGAAAGGGATAAAATGGAAAAGTAAATTATGCATTTGAAATAAAACTTAAGATTTTAAAATACATTCGTGTTTTGAAAGTGAAAAAGGGATCTTCAAACGAGATTAAGTAAAAAGGAGAACTTTGAAAATGAAGAGGTTTTGGAAAAATAATAAGTTTCTTAAAAGTTGTTTTTACAACTAGAAAGAAAGAACTCAGGGATAAATGCAAGATAGAAAAGATGGGTAAGGCTACAAGGAACTTTAATTTTAACTTAGAATATAAAATATTAGAAATTAGAGACAAAAGTAAAGAATTAATAAAACTAGTAGACATTTTAGGAATTGCTTAAAAAACCTAGGAAGACTAACAAAGAAATTAAATAATCTAAATTGACATTAATTAGTAATAAACTAGGTATTTTAATTGTAACTAATTTTGTAGATTTGAGAAAGGAAGTGATTGTGAAAGAAGGTAGCTATAAATCATGATTCCTAAATGATGAATGATTGTATGGTAAGGGAAACAAAAGTTAGATTTAGGAAAAGAAATTAAGATAAAGGAAAGTACGTTAATTGGGTGTCAATTTGATTGTTAAAAAATGGGGCTTAATGGCTTATTAGTATAAAGGGAAAAGTAATTGAAGAGGGTAATGAGAAAGTAAAGTTAGAGATGTTGTTAGGCATAGGGTTAGTGACATGACTGTGGAAAGGCTTGAAATCTATCCAACAAATTGATGTGATATTGGATAGCCCAAATTTGGTGTCAAAGATATCAATCTGCATAAAAAAAGAATCCAGCAGGTCTCTACTCAAACAGGAAAATAAGTTTCAATTTCTTAAATGGGAACGCTTAGAACAAAAAAGTAATTTCATTCCTAACTACTTTTTTAGTTCGGATTATTCCAAGAGATGGATTAAATTTGTTCAAGCTAGAAGACTTAAAAAGCTCAAGTAAGGTTAATTTGCTTGAAGAATTGTAAGAAACCTCATGTTTGAGGAAGATGGCCCACGTGAACTAAGCGTGCGCAGCCCACATGCGCGCAACATGTGCATGTGTGCTACAATACCTGCACACAAGCAGACCCAGCAACAATGCCAAGCAGACCCGAGAACCATCCGCTATCCTCAACCTCAAATTTTGCAGCAATAATATGCCTCCATAAAGTCCCTTCCTTGTTCATAAATCATCATAACCATTTTCCCTGCCAAACTTGATTTATTTCAATAAGCAATCTGACCCCAAAACCACCCAGTTTCAGAGGTTTCTTAATCTCACATCAGGCATCCAAATGGAATTTTCTGTGCTCCACAGAGTCGCCCCAAAGAAACTTGCACTCTATATTTTCCAGTTTTTAAGCTATACTCATTAGAATAATTATAAGGGAAATATAATACATCAGTAGATTGCTTAAAGTGCTTTTTGTGAAGGTTAATCTCTCCCCTTTTGATAATAAGCTACTCTTCGATCCTGTAAGTCTTTATTCAACTATGTTTACAATCAGTTCCCATGTCTGTTTGCATTTGTAATTAGCACCTAAATGTAATCCCAAATATTTTTTAGGTAACTCAACTGCCTTACAACCGATCTTAGCCAGATTATCTCTTTCAACCCGATCACCCAGCGACAGAAACTCAGATTTTGCAAAATTAATACTTAAAACCGAAATTGCTTGAAAGCCCATCAGCAACATCTCAAATTTAATATGGCTTACTTCTTGGGTTCGCCAACTAACATGTTATCCACAAAAAATCAAATGTGTCACTTCTTCCTTATTATCACCTCTACCAACATTTATGCCTTTAAACAAAATTTGATGTCTTGCTCTCATTGCCATTCTATTCAATGCTTCCATAACTAAGATAAAAAGTAGAGGGGATAAGGGGGTCCCCCTACCTAAGTTCTCTGAAAGAAGAAGGACCACCATTCACCATCTCCTCAAAAGAAGCAGTTGAGATACAAGACTTCATCCAACTTGTTCATTTGTCCCCAAAACCCATTCTCAATAGTAAATAATTCGTAAAACTCCTGTTAACATGATCATATGGTTTTTCATGTCTAATTTGCACAAAATGTCTTCCCCGCACTTGTTTATAAGGTCATCAACATTCTCATTTGCAATCAAAACAGCATCAAGAATTTGCCTCCTACCAACAAAAGCATGTTGAGCCTCACCGTTCACTTTATTTAGTATTCTAGGCATCCTCTTTGCAACGACTTTGACTATCAACACAGCCCACTAGACTAATAGGTCTGAATTTTTTAATGTTTGAGGCTCCCTTTACTTTTGTTCTAAGAATAATAAATGTAGAATTTAAAGATGTTACAAATTTACCAGATTCATGGAATTCTTTGAAGAGGGCAGTCAGATCCTTCTTGAATACATCCCAAAATTCTTGTAGAAAACCCATATTAAAGCCATCTGGGCCCGGGAAATAACTTCTCCATCATTCTTGAATACAAACTATTTGCTGGTAGACTAAACCAAATGTTATCACTATTGTCTAGATGGAAGTTTTTCCGCTGGAAATGAACTGCCACTCTCAGTTCTGTAGTACAAAAAGTTCATGCTTTGGCTTTATATTCCAAAGTTTTGTTGCATTGTGTTAATTTCACGTTAAAGTTGGGATGTTTTACAGTTTGTTTTTCTTGTTGTTTGAAGAGTGGTATAAATGATAAGAAACAAAAAAGACAAAATTCTAATTTTCTTTTTCCTAAAGCTGGTTCAGCAAAAGATGAAAGAGAAAGGAGTTATTCTTTTTCGATATTTATGATTGAAACACAGGTGCTCATTTTTAGAATCTAATATTATCATACTTTTTAGAGGTGTGAAATCTAATAAATTAGGCCCCGCCCTTTATTTTTGTCAACACTTCACACAATAATACACACACACACACATTCAACTGAAAAAGTAATAAGTGGTCACTTTGCAAAATTGCATGTTTTCTTGTTGTTGGAAGTGGAGTTGTGCACAGTTAGCTGTAGAACTAACTTCACTAAGTGGGACTAGGATCAGACTTATAAAAGGTGATACATTCTGATGATATTATATCAAAATATAACAGTGGCAATTCTTTTGCTCTCTGCACCCCTCACCTTTGTGCACATTTCACCATTCAATTATACATTATTTCACCTTTTACAAAATATTTTCTATGCTCTACAGGCTTATCTTATATAATATTTTTACTCTTGCAGTTCTTTGAAAAAGAAATTGAAAGACAAGATGGCTGAATTTCAGGTTGGTCAGAAAATAACTACTTTCATCATTTGGTCTAGATTAACACTGTCAAATTTACAGTCTGAAGGATTTTGCAGACTTTTAGAGAAACCATTCATCAAGAATAGCTGGAAGTTGTTGAGAGGTGTTTTTTTACAAGTTTGAACACCGATCTTGCTTTCTGTCAAAGCCCTGTGTTTACAATTTAAAGCTCTATTTTTTTTTTTTTTGCAATATTTTGGAATCTTGATTTGTATTTGGCTTTTGTTTTGTTTAGTAATGGGAGCAATAGCTGATTAAGAGGTAAATTATTCAGTGATTAAGTGTTCAATAAATTTTTTCTATGCAAGTCCGTTTCTAAGATTTCCTTAATGCACAAACAATTAAGAGATTTTTTGAGACTGGAGACAGTCAATAAACATTTCTGAAAGCCATTCAGGAGCAAGCGCGAGGCCAGGTTTGCTCCTATTTTCCTCACTGTGATCCTCTTTTTTAAAATTCTTTTGAACCATTAAGGAGAATCCAATTATAATGTGGCCAGTTCTCCTGAGAATTCTTAGATTTCCTTTAGATTCAATTAATACCTATTATGTTCTGATATTAGATGGTCAAAAATTACTATTTGTGCTTTGCTCACAGATAATGAATACTTTTGCTAAAATTCAAAGGTGTCATGATGCTGTTAGAGATTTGGAAAAAAAGCTCCTTGAGTTACTGCATATACTTTGGGTTATTGGTGATGGGAAGGTGATCCAACCAAAAAAAGAAATTAGCTTTTCTATGGTTAATTTGTTTAATTTTTAGGCATTTAATTACACATTTAAACTTGCTCCTCACTTTTAACTGTTAGATACTGAAAGCGAGAAAGGAGTGATTGATGAGATTTTTATATCTTGTGCTTTTTTGAGCATTAACTTTTGTTGGTAGGTTAGGCTTGCAGATGGGTGGGATCTAACATAGGTCATGTGGAAAAAAGTGATAAGTGTTTGTCAGAATCAGAAATCTTTTGGTTTTTTTGCTTTCTCCATATCCAGTTACACCATTCCCAGAAATCCATTCTTCAGTTCTGATTTATGTTTTCCAATGCGGGTTAGGGCATAGGATTTACGGCATAAAGTTTAAGGGTTAGGGCTTAGGATAACATTCCTGTAGTTTGAGAGAAGAAAATTTTTTATAAATTCTGATTTTATTATATCAAAATATAACAGTTACAATTCTTTGCTCTCTGTACTCCTTTCATTGTGCACATTTCACCATTAAATTATACATTATTTCAGTCTCCAAAATATTTTCCATGTTCTACAAGCTGATTTTATTTAATATTTTTACTCTTGCACCAGGAAAGTAGAGCCTTTGTGAGTTTCAACTTCGGATTGAGGATATAGATTTTGTTTTTTTGTGAGTTAAAGATCTCTTTGCTTTCTCCTTCTCCATTCTCGCATTTTTTTTCAAATTGTGATCTTTTTTAGAGTTCGGAATTCGAATTATTTCTCTGTCAAGGTTATTCAACCTCATCCTCCAGCAATGAACAACATTTTAAAGGTAATATCTTTAAGAATTGACTTATTTTAGATTTGTTTTCTTTGTGTGTATTTATGCTCTTTGTTTTTGGCTTTGTTTTGATCTAGGTTTGGTTACGATAGTTGTGTTTATTTTAGTGGATCATGATTAGCGAAGGTAACGAAGTTTTTTGTTCTTTAATCCTAGTTTTTAGATCATCGGTTTGGCTGCTAAAAAATAAATATGAATCAAAATCCAATGTCATTGATACAGTTTTAGGATCTTATCCAGAAAACAAAAATTTAAAAAGAAAAGAAAATATTATTAGTTATTAGCTTGTGCTTAATGAAAAATTTTTAAGTTTAGCTAGCTAGCTATTTTTTTTTCTCTCTTTTCTTGATCTCTTTATACCTTGTACATTTATACTTTCAATTCATTATCTAACTTGTCTTCAGCAAAAAAAGTGATGTGTACGTATGGTTTATAACACAACAATTTTGTGTTCTGACAGAGCGTAGTTATATTATGATGTTTGCAAGGTAGCCTGTTTTTTTGGTGAGAGATTTTTATTTTTCTTGGTTATTGATAAAATTTGATGCTTATGTGCGTCCAACATTACTTTATTTTCTGTCTATTTTTTTAACCAATTAAATGATAACTGCAGTGAATCATTCTTTTGATTCAGTATTTGGATATAACATTCTCTTACTTTGCATATTTTGGCAATTTCATGGATATGTTTTACATGGAGGATTTAGCTTGAGATCGATGGGTATTATATTTTTATGCTAACACTAAAAAGTGTTTATGGTGTTTTCAGAGGGTAACTTATTACTGGTATTTTAAACTTTTTTTCCGATGCCTGATGGACAACAGGGACGTACATGGGAGTATTGCATTTATAAGTTATGATTATGTTAGGTTTATGTAGAAAGTTGGATTTTCTGAACAAACAATTAGTCATTTGATGGTTTGTGTAATTTATCTTTATTTGGTGATTCTCTAGGAAAGTCACAAGGCAGATATGATGTACAAGAGCAGGAACTCCTTACATGAATGTTTTGTTTTAGGGACTGGATGTAGAACCATTTCGGAGTCTTAAAGGTTGTAAGCTGATCAAAATTTAAGAGTTGAAGGCATGTGAATTTGAAGTGACCTGATGTCATATCTCTTCGCTGGAGTATTAGGTATACATTTATTAGGAAAAAATAGTGTTATAATAGAAGTGAAAAGCATAACTAGGATTTAATTTTCACTAAATGTGCACATATACAAGCAGAAGGAATTGAATCTTTTAACTCATGGGAGCCAGATTAACTGCGGTTAAATGTTCCTGTGGCCCACTTGTTTGCTACTTATGAGGGAGGTAAGTTGTGGTTATTTTGTTTGATTAGAAAATTGTAAGTGCATCTGAGTTGTGCAAGCATGGATGTCTTCTGCAGACTAGTTGGCTATCGCCTCTTAGTCTACAGACTTCTAGAAGCTATACTGTCAATAAGAGATCTTCTTTGCTCTTATTCTCCCATCCATTATGCTCTATTTGAAGTGTGGCTTTCTAATTTAACTCATGTCACTATTCTAAGTAGTAAAGCAGGCTCCTAGTACTCTAGAGTCATATTGAGGGTCCCTTATTCTAATTGATCTCTACATAAAGGTAGGTTGTGTGGAAAAAAGTTTATTTACTTATAGGGTTGGAAGATTGAGATGTGAAGTTTGGTGAGTGCCTAAAGGGTGGCACCATTATGTTTTATGCGTGGGGAAGTCAGAGCAAATTAATTTTCTGCGTCAGTATAGTTTTTTTTCTCCTTTTGTTTTACATTTTCCCCTTCTCGTTTAGATCTTTTAAAAACCTTCTCAAGTTTTTGATTTTCAATCCAAAGCAAGGTCTAATTCCTTATATACTTGAATTAAATACATAGACATTGACATGTTTGATGGTGTTTGCCAATGCTATTAATATTTGACTAACGATGGATTCAAGTCTTATTATATGGCAGGGAAATTGATTATATAGCATCAATTGGACTGGTATACCATATGAGAGCTAGCTGATAAGTTCTTGTTTAAGAGGCTGATTGCCTTTGGGTTTTGAGATTGTGAGCAGTAAACTTCAATTTGTCTTATGGTAAAAGAATAAAGGATAATTTCCTTGGAAAGAACAAAGAAGATTGAACTAATTAACTTAAAATATGCACAAATATGTTATTTAAATTGTTGTTGGAACTTTTAATTTTTTGAATAAATACCTTTGTCTTTTCACAACTCATTAGAGTTAGTGTCAATAACATTTCTTGTTCTTTTTTTTTCTTGTATTCTTTATAAACTAAATATTATTTAAACTTTTATTTAATGTTTTTGTACAAGTCATGTTGCATGCCTTCACTTATTGAATGTTTTAAGACTCAAGTCTTGCTCCTTTTTGAACACGTTCGTGATGCTTGATAATTTCTTGAGATATTCAAATAAATAATATTTTATTGCTTTTTTATCATTACTTTAGATTGTATGTGATGATTATGGGTTTTCTGAAATGTCTCAACTTAACTTTGGTAGATCATTGAAACAACTTTTTAAGGCTTAGAGTTTAAGGTTTAAAGTTTAGAGTTTAGGGTTTAAGGCTCTGGGCTTAAGGCTTGTAAAGATTTATTAGAACTTATCAGAGCTTATTTAAATTAGGCCTTATTAGGGCTTAGGGCATATTAAGGCTTAGCACTAAGGGTTTAAGGCTTAGTGTTTAGGGGTTATTAGGGTTTATTAGGGCATATTGTTTAGCATTTATGATTTCTAGGGCTTATTTGGGCTTAAAGCTTTCGGACTTAGGGTTTAGGGATTATTAGAGCTTTAGAGATTAGGGCTTAAGATATAGGGCTTACATCTTAATGCTTTGGGCTTATTATGACTTCTAACTTAGGGATTACGATTTATTAAGGCTTGTTTGAGGCTAGTTAATGCTTATTAGGTTTTAGGGCTAACAACTTATGGCTTATTAGAGCTTACGACTTAGGCTTAGGCTTAGGTTTAGAACTTTTTGTAACACCCTGAGTGCTATTATTTTTTTTTTTTATTTTGTAATTATTTGAATTTTTTTTATTTTTAATTAATTTAATTTGATTTAATTTATTCTAATTTCATGAAAATAAAAATAATAATAATGATAAAATTGGGTAAAAATATTATTTGGATTTAATTGAAATTAATTTTGGGAAAAAAGGGTGAAATTTTGGATTCTGATGTGTTTTTGAAAAGAAAATCGGAAATCGGGAGTCAAAACGCAATTTAGAAAAGTTGTGCCACGTCAGCAGCAACGTCAGCGACCCGGTCAGCAGTCCCGGTCAACCAGGACGCGCTGTGTGGCAAGGGAATGCTGACCAGGGGACGGACCACGTGGGCGATCCGCGTGCGCGCGATCGGACGGCCTAGATCCGTTCCCGCGCGCACGGACGGCCCAGATTGCATCACGATAGACGGTCCAGATTTAATCCTAATTAAATCGCGATCGAATGGTGCAGATTTAATCTTGATGGACGGTTGAGATTAAAAGCTAAAGGGTATAAATAACTCCACCCACACCTGACCACAAAAACCCTAGCCGCCAGTGCCTCGCCGGAGAAGAAGAACCAGACACCGGAGGAGCCGGCCATCCCCACCCGCCACCGCACCGAGGAAGTTTCCGACCACCGATCGAGGTAAATTTTCTCCCCCTTGCTCGTTTTTCGATGCTGAGTTCGCTTATGGCCAAACCGGAGCCAAACCATCAGCCAAACAACCGAAAAACCCAGCCGAAGCCCAGGGGCGCCGCCGCGCCCCTCCTCGATTTTTGCCTCCGATGAGGCCCTTCCCGATCTCCGTTCGATGCAAATTTTATACCACTGTGATCACCGTTCTTTTCTCTACAGGTTGATCGGAGCCAAATATCAAAACACGACTCACGCCGAAGGAGCCGCCGCACCCGAGAGCACTGCCGCCGATAAGTTTCAATTTTTCGTGATTTTTTGGCCCACCAAGGGCCCTAGGGTTGTTTTATCGCAGGGACCGATGCAAGTGTGGCCGAATTCGATCAAAAACGGCCAACCTGAGGCGAATCGCCACCACTTGCGGCGGCGCCGACGCCGGAGTACGGCGGAGCCGCCGTGCTGGAATTGCGATATTGGTCGAAAGGGGCCCTAGGTTTGATTTGGCATTTTTTGGGACACGTGCAGGTACCGGTAGTGCGTTTCAGTTTTCTGAGAAAAATTTAGGAAAATTAGGGACAGTCTGTAGGCGTACTGTAGAGTCGAATTCAGACCCCGAAACAAGTAAAGACCCCTCACCCTATTTCCTATCGCGGTATTAAAGCTAAATAAATAATTAAACTGTACTGTGTGACTTTATAGATATATAATTGATTAAGGTTGCCAATAGAGCCCGAGTCTGATACAGTGTTGGTCTGTTATTGTTTGATCTAATTTTCAGTATTAAATGCAGCATGATGTTTGATGTAATTATGTTGTGGTCTCGTATGCATGAATCATGATTTCTTTTATTATGGTTTGTATTATGGTGAACCCAATACTGTGTTGTCTTGTTTGGCGTCAATTACTGGTTTACATGTTGTGTATGATTGGATGATTGAGATCAAGGAAAAAAGCAAAAAGGTTATGTGAATTGATAAGTGGATAATGTGTACAGCCTGACTAGATATCCTGGGAGATGGTGGACGGACCGGGTTCGTAGGGAACCCTACCGGGAACGTGGTCTCTCATACCGAACGGGGTATGGAGACCTTATGTGTTTTGGCGCCCATACCGGACGGGGTATGGGGACGGCCCGTTTCACCCTCATACCGGACGAGGTATTGAGGTTCATGGTTTTGGCGCCCATACCGGACGGGGTATGGGGACGGTCCTGGAATCAGGTTGTAATGTTAATGGTTCACGGGTAGCGGGGACCCCTTATGGATCCCCATGGATACTAGTAGCCTGGTAAAAGAGGAAAATATATTGTTTAATGATTGAAATGCAAAGGCGTGGAAGTGTTATGTTATACAGTTTATATGATTTCATGATGATGATAATGTTATTGCTTTCATATATCATTTTCATGAATCTCATCGAGATAAGTGAACAGTAAAGGTTTTTATATTAATAAACGAGTTCGTTATAAATTATGCTCCATTGGTCATTTTTTTTTTTTACCCACCTTTACTTTCGTGGCGGTGAGATAGTGTGATGTCTTTACTGGGCTGGTGTAGCTCATCCCTTATTTAAATATTTCATATCAAGAAAACGTTGTTCCCGAGCCCGTTCCGCAGGAAGATGGCGAATGGGACGCCTAAAGACTTTATAGTTATATTTATAGTTTTTATTTCGAGTACATCTCTTAGTCAGTTTGTTCCTTCATGTTTTGAGTACGTTTTGGTTATTGTGTAACGGATTTTAATCAAAATTTTTATTACGCTTCCACATTTGATATTTTTAATATATATATTTCATTTAAATTTACGGAGCCATTACACTTTTTATATGTTTGGATGATGTTATTTTTATGGTTCATTAATGTAGAATATGGTCGTGGGATGATAAAATCATATTTGTTTGCTGATGGTATAGTTAGTTTATGGTGTTTAATGGTATCTAAAAGACAAAATTTAGCTAAATTTTTTAAATCACTGATTTGGTAGCTTTTTACGGACTCGTATTTTTGTTTTGGTTGTACCATCATTAAATTTTATTAATTCTCATTTTATTCTTTAAAAAATACTTATTTTAGACTTCTTGTCATTTTTCCTTTCTTCTCTTCTTCTTTATCTTTTTCCATTATTTTATTAATTGAATAGATTTTATTTAATTAATAATAATATTTGAGTTATTTTTAAAGTATTGAAATATGATTTAATTATTTTGTATTTATTTATTAGAAAATAAAAATTAAAAATAAATAAAAATATTAAAAATTATTTTATAATAAAAAATA